GCAGGGGGAGGTGGGGCAGAGCAGGGGGAGGTGGGGCAGAGCAGGGGGGAGGTAGGGCTGATGGGAGAGGGTCCTGGGTGAGCCCTGTCCTCCCTGGGCGTGGGGATGAAGGACAGTCTTCAGCACAAGGGTCCAGGGCCTGACCTGGGCACCATCCACTCACACTCAGGGTGCCCCCTAGGGGCCCCAGGCAGGCTCCCAAGGCTCCATATGCCCCTGTGGATGGACAGCGTGGTGGCTCATATCTGCCACCCCTGCTCCAGGACTGAAGCCTGTCCCCAGTGAGTTCCTCTCCAATCCTGCTCTGTCCACAGCCCCACCTGAGGGCACGGGACACAAGCACTGGGGCGGGGGTTCAGCCTCAGACAGGAAAGCGAGGTGCGCAGCGCCCTGAGAGTGGACCTGGCCCAGCAGCCCTGGCCACAGCGTGTTTACAGACCTGGGTCTGAATGGCGAGGTGGGAGGGGGAGTCCGCCTCAGGATCGTGACAAGCAGTCCACTAGTCCCCCTCAGGGGAGCTCCCCCCACCCTGGGCCTGGAGGCTCAGGATTGGTGCTTGGGGTGCAGAACCCCAGGACAGCAGCTCAGCCACATGCCGCTGCCCACCATCCCCAGGGGCTGGCCCTGGGTGGTCACCACACCTACAGGCCTCCAGGACCAGCTCCTGGCCGTCCCCTCAATGACTGGAAGCCCACCCTACCCCTGACCATGCTGATAGGGCAGGCCGGCCACAGGGAGCATCTGTCTCCAGAGCCAGTCGCCTCACCTTTGTCTCTGGGATCAAAGCCACTGGCATCTGCACACCTATCCCTAGACACAGGCTCCCACTCATGGTCACTGTCCCTGGGGCCGGATGCTAGCTGGTCAGGTGATTGCCTTCCTCTCCCTGACCTGGAGCACCTTCCAGAGCCTGGCTGTCCCCAGGATCCAAGAATGTGGCCACTCCTGTTCTCAGGTGAGTACCCAGGCCTGTAGGCAGGTAACACAGGTGAGCCACATCCCCACCACAGGCAGGCCCCCATCTAGTCCCCATAGTACAGGAGCGACAACTGACAGGGTGCCAGGTGCTGGAGGTGCAGGGTAGTGGTGGCCAGGGACACTAAGCTGACCTTGGGTGGGGGTGTCTTAGCTGGGGGAAAGAGACCACAGCCCTGTCCACCAGAGAGAGGCCTGGGCAGGACCTCTCCTGAGTCTACCTCTGTGTATAACTGAACACTACCTCATCCCAGGGGCTCATGTGGGGACTCATGGGGAGACCAGTCCCAGAGGAGGGGCACATCCAAATGGGGACTGTCCAGAAAGAGGGCTCATCTTGAGGGAGGCTCGTTGAGGGGCCTCCCGCAGCACTAACATCCTCGCTGGAGGGAGGGTTTCACCAGCTTATGGGGCCTCGACAGGACCCAGCATGTCCCAGGAGGTAGCCCTGTCCTGAAGCAGGACTGGACTCTGCACAGAGGGAGCTGGGATGTGAGGACATGTCTTTCAGGGATGGGACACCCCCAGGAGGCGGTGGACCTCCAGTTGGGGCTCTAGAAGTGAAATGACCAGCACCTTCTGAGAGGGCAGAGGGTGGACGTGAGGGGACCTGGCACGGTTCTCTCCACGTTCTCTCTTCGAAGCTGCCGCCAGGGCAGGTCCAGGAGGGCCTGGGGAGGAAGACAAAGATGCGGGTGGGCTGTGGAGCAGGAGCAGGAGTGGCGAGGACAGATCAGGACGGGAGTGTGAGGAGGAGAGAGGACAGGACAAGAGGGGAGGTGTGGGAAGGGGACAGAACAGGGCAGGAGGTGTGGACAGGACAGGAGGTGTGGATGGGACAGAACAGGAGGTGTGGACAGGAGACAGGGTAGGAGGTATGGACAGGGGACAGGGCAGGAGGTGTGCACAGGACAGGACAGGAGGTGTGGACGGGGAACAGGGCAGGAAGAGAGATGTTGAGGGGGGACAGGATGGGCTAGGAAATGGGCTCAGGTGAATGTGCGGAGAAGCACAGGGCTGTTAGGAAGGGCATCTAAGTGGAGGTTGTGGGGGGCTCTGTCCTGTAAGTGCAGGAAGTGGGGAGCAGGTCAGACTCTGTGGTGGAGTTAGTGAGGGGTGACTTTGGGCACGGTTGGGGCGGCACTGGCAGAGCTGGGACCAAGTGGACATCGGAGGAGTCCGCTCAGCCCTGGAGAGAGGTCCTCTGCACCGTGCTCTCCATTGCTGCTGCCCTGTGAGAGTCCCCTCTTGTAGCTCTTTGCGTGACGGGGTGCAGGCTGCCTGGTCCCCACGAGGTGACCTCTCGCCACTTTTGTGTAAGGGAGCCCTCTGGCTGCACTTCTCTGAGGAGCATGGCGTGAGACGGAACCCACCAAGGCCACAGTTCAGAGGCCTCCCTTCATCAGCCTCGGGTGCACTGTCCAGCGCCCTTGTGTAAAAAAAGAAACAGCTGAGAAGCCTGGTCGGGGCCGAGCCCCTCAGTCGCCAGAGCTGTGGCCGCTGTTTGCCCAGTGCAGTGAGTCTGGGCTGCAGCTGCTCTGGGCATGGACTCCAGTAAAATGAAATCTTGAACGATGCTGCTTCGTTTATCTGGGCGTCCAGTGGAAGGATGGGAGCCTGGGGCAGGGAACAGGGGCATCTCTGACCCGGTCAGGCACATGCTGGGGAGGCAACACAGTGGGGTCCAGGGCCAAGTAGAGCTCAAGTGTGGAAAGTGGGAACATCCCCCTCAACCTGAAGCTGGAACAGGAGGAGGCGACAGGGATCAGGGGTGTGTGGGGGAGGGATTCAGGAAGGACAAGGATGCTGGGGGTGGGTGTGGAGGGGCAGCTGGGTGACAAGTCAGAGCCCTGGATATGCAGGCAGTGGGGACACAGGTAAAGCAGGCCCAGGGATCACGGACAGGACTCCCAGAGGACCTCTGACCCAGATAGGAGAGACCAGGGACAGTGGAACCCCCCATGCCAAGAGGTGTCTAGGAGCCTGTGATCAAGTTCTCAGCAAGCCCTGAGGTTAGAGATAAAAATGCTCGGGCACAGTGATGTAGTCAACATGGTGGGGAACACGGAGGATTGGCACTGAGGCACAATCTGAGGTGGTGGTCAGTGGTCACCCTCACCCTTGTCAGGCCCCTCCTGCTCCTTGACCTGGACCTCCCTGCCCCTTGCCCTCACGGCACCCCCTCTCCCCACCAACCCTCCCCCATACTCCCTCCTGTGTGCACATCCCTGCCCTCTCCCTGTACCCGCCCCCCAGACCTTGTCCAGCCAGGTCCTGGGAGGAAGCGTGGGGTCCTGCACCTGAGGCCATCCCCCTGCCCCATCCTCTCCCAGCCCTGCTCCCTCTGCATCCAGCCCTTTCTCAGGCAGACGCGTGGTCAGCTAGGGACAGTGTGATGGGGACAGCATGAGGCTGAGACGCTGGAAACCAAGCCCTGGGGAGTGGGGGATTCCTATCAGACACCCCACCAGGCAGGCCATAGGAAGCCCCGCAGAGTCCACTGGAAAGCCCCTGAGGCTCCAGTCCATGCCTCCCCGCTGACCAGCACCCCCTAGTGACCATGCTACTGCCCACTAGACCTTGTCCTCCCCGCTGACCGGCACACCCTAGCGACCACCCCATCACCCACCAGGCCCTGTCCTCATCACTGGCCAGCACCCCTTAATG